GTGTGTGTACTGTCAGATCAGATCTGACTGGTGCAGGAGGAGATTGTTCTTCCTTCTCCAGCAGAGCATCTGGTGGATTTGAACCGTGCACCTCTGGATTGCAGTACACCTTCTTGCCACTAGGCCACCAGAGCTCGCCTTGCTCTTCTCTTTGAAAAGTAAAATTCTTTCATTGGTATACAATCCGCCCCCTTACCCCCAGTACACTCCACTATGCAACCTTCATTCTGGACTCTTGTCATAACCGTAATACCAAATCATATATCGCTTTTAAACTGTTCTCTTCCTCATCTGTTTCAATGCAGTATGTGCAATTTATCCAATTTTTCTCAGTCTCACCCCAACCCTGATGTCAGCCCCGTTCTACAACAGTGGCACTATGCAGTATTTGTCCTTTTGTGACTGAGATATTTCACTCAGCATAATGTCCTCCAAGGTCACCCATTTTGAATAATATTGCATGAGTTCTCTACTTTTCAATACAACGTAGTATTCCATTGTGTGAATAATCCACAGTTTCTCTATCCATTCATTTGTTGATGGGCACTTAGGTTGTTTCCAACTCTTCGCTATTGTGAACAAACCACAATAAACGTGGGTGTGCATATATGTGTCTGGGTGGCAGTTATGGTTTCTTTAGGGTATATTCCCAGTAGTAGAGGAATTGCTGGGTTAAATGGTATTCTATTTTCAACTTTTGAGAAAGCACCATTTTACACTCCCACCAACAGTGAATAAGGCTTCCAGTTTCTCCACAACCTTGGCAGCATTTATTGTTTTCTGCTCTGTTAAATTTTGCTATTCAGACTGGGATGAGAGAATATCTCATAGTTGTTTTTTTATGTTTTTATTTTTTTAAGGTAAAAAGTAAAGATAGACTTACTAGAAAGTTACGTCCCTAAGGAGTGGATCTCACTCCTTGAAAAGAAATATGAAGGAGAGTTAGCTTGCTTTTATAATTGTTGTTGTTATGTGTCATCGAGTCGTTTGTGACTCATAGCGACCCTATGTACAAGAGCCCTATACACCGTTCTATTCTGTGCCAACCTTGCCATCTCAAACACGCTCATTCCCATCACTCCACTCACAGAATCGATCCATCTCATCGAGGGTCTTCCTCTCCTGTGCCATCCCTCCACTCTCCCAAACATGACGTCCTTCTCCAAGGACGAGTCCCTCCTTGCAACATGCCCAGAGTATGTCAGATGAAGCTTCAGAATCCTTGACTCCAAGGAACATTCCAAATTCACCCTCTCCAGGACAAACCTGTTTGTTCTTCTAGCAGTCCATGGTATATTCAACACTCTTCTCCAGTACCACAACTCAAAGGCATCAATTCTCTTTCTATCATCCCTATTCACTGTCCAACTCTCTGATGCATAGCAAGTAATTGCAAAGACTATAGCCTGGATCAGGCACACCTTATTCTCCAGCCTGATGTTGTTGCTCTTCAGTACTCTTTTTTTAAAATTTTTTTTCAATTTTTTAAAAAATTATTTGTGTGTGTGTGTGTGTGTACTGTCAAATCAGATCTGACTGGTACAGGAGGAGATTGTCCCTCCTTCCCCGGCAGAGCATCTGGTGGGTTCGAACCGTGCGCCTCTGGGATTGTAGTTGCAGTTCCTTGCCACTAGGCCACCAGAGCTCCCCTTCTTTCAGTACTCTTGAGAGGTCCCTCACAGCTGACTTTCCCCAGTGCAATTCATCTCGTGATTTCATGGCTGCTGTTACCAAGAGTATTGACTGTGGAGCCAAGTAAATGAAAACGGTTAACCATCTCAATCTCTTCACCATCCATACTGATGATGCCAATTGGCCCAGTGGTGAGAATCTGTTTTCTTGATGTTGAGCTTCAATCCATATAGGAGGCTGCAGTCCTTGACCTTGTGCAGCAAGCGCTTCAAGTCCTCGTCAGTTTCAGGAAGCAGGGTTGTGTCATCTGCATAACGCAGGTTGTTGATGACTCTTCACCAATCCTGATGCCAATTGGCCCAGTGGTGAGAATCTTTGTTTTCTTGATGTTGAGCTTCAATCCATGTTAGTAAACCTTTATAATGAGTAAAGGACCCAGGATTCCTGCCTCTAGACCAGGGCCTTTCTGCACCTTTCAGTGTTAACTTGCAAACACCGGGTTGTTAATCAGTGGTGGCTGAGTTGAGTCGATCATGATTCGTTGCGACCTTATCAACAGCAGATCATAACCTTGTCCCATCCTGTGCCGTCCCCACAAACTCCTCCATACTTGAGCCCCTTGTTACAGTCGCTGTCAATCCAGCTGGTGGAGGGGCCATCTCCTGTGGTTAGTTATGAAGACAAGCATGTGGCCAGGAATATGTCAGTCTTGTTGGAGTGCAGTGAGGAATGCTGGGGGCACAGACCATGAGGGAGTTCAGAAGTGGCTTGTGACCTGGTGTGTGCCAGGAGGACTTCCTGGAGGAGATGTTGCAACAAAGTCTTCAAGAGTGAGTAGGCGTGAAATAGGATGAGTGATCCACTTGGGGTGACACAGGGTTCAGAAAGAAGACACCTGGTAGAGGAAACAGCATGCAGGAAGGCTGGGAGGACAACAGATCACAGCTCCTTCCAGAAGTTGAACTCAGCCCTGTGCTGATGGGAAGAGAGTAGGTGTCTTCCTACCAGAGCTGGTGGCCAACAGGCGGCCTGCTGCCAGTTTGTCTCCTCCCTCAGCTCATCCCCAGCCCCCTGGGGCGGCCACCTGCTCGGAACTGATGATCGGGTGTCAGAGCTGAGCTCCCAGAGCTGCTGGTGCAAGCTCACGGCCCAGCTGGGAGCGCGTAACCAGAGCCGGAGTGGACAGCCAGCATTGTGGTCTGGTGCTAGGGCGCTGGAGCTGCAGGAGGTAGGAGAGGAGGAGGGGGAGGGAGGCCTGGGGTGGAGTCTCCCCACACAGCACGGTGTCCCTGGGGCCCTATGATGCGGGGAAAAGCCAGTGGGGAGTCTCAGACATGCTGAGCAGTTACCCAAACACACACACATAAACACAGACAGACACAGGCACACACACACTCTCTCTCATTTACTCTACTCGCACATAGTACGTACACCTGTGAACCACCATCCCACAACTAGTCCACTCTCTCCCCGCCCATCTAGACACTTAGATCCGCTGACCTACACCCACCACCCATCCTTCTTGTACTGTCTACCCTCTCTACCTATGTATGCACCTGGCCCCTGGCTAGAAGGCTCTCCTGTCCTGTCTCTGCTGTCTGTCACCCATCTGGCTACCACGGCCCTGTCTACACATCATTGCCTCTTCAGGAAACAACTCCCCAGGTGAGGAGACTGAGCCCACTCCTCCTGCAGCTCCAGGAGGCCTGTGCTGTCCTCTCCTGGGTGTCTTGTTACAGGCTGCTTTGGGTGTGATTGAGACTTTACTTGAGAAGAGAAAGGTAGGGGTAGGGGTACACTGATTGGTGGAATAGGGAATGAACGGATGGGCAGTAGATGGATGGATGGATGGATGGGTGGGAGGGTGTATGAATAGTTGTGTTGAAGAGTGGTAGATGGGTAGATTGATGGATGAGGGCATGGATGGATGAGTGAGTGCGTAAATTATGGATGGATGGGTGTGTGGAGGGAAGAGGGGTGAATGTATGGATAGTCTTATGGGCCAGTGGACAGATGGATAGGAGTCTGGGAGGGTCGTTGAATGGTTGGGTTGCAGAGTGGTGAATGGATGGGTGGGTATTGTGTAGAAGAAGGTGGATGGGTGTGTGGTAGATGTAGAGAGTTGGGTGGTTGAATGAGTGTGTGGGTGGATGGATGGATGAAAGGCTAGGGGAGAGGGAGGGCGAATGGTTGGGCTGGTGAACGGTGGTGGTTGGATGGGTGGGGAGGAGAAGGGTGGGAGCATGGATGGTTGTTGTTGTTGTTGTTAGGTACTGTTGAGTCAAGTCTGACTCACATCAACCCTATGAACAACAACAGATCTGAACCCTGTTCTATCCTGTGCCAATCTGACAACCTCTGACACATCCAAGTCCATTCCTGCAGTAACTGTGTCCATCCATCTGATTGGGGGCCTTCCTCTCTTTCCCATCCCTCCGACTTTCTAAGCATGATGTCCTTCTCCAAGGAATAGCCTCTCCTAGCCACATGTCTGATGTCCACATTGCATGGACGGAAGGTGGTGGAAGAAGAATGGATGAGGGGATGTTTGGGTGGATGAGAGAGTGGATGGAAAAGGGGATGAATGCTCGGTTTGAAGAGAGGTGGGTAGATGGTGGATGGAGGAGGGTGGATGAATGAGTGAGTTGGTGAGTGGATGGATGATTGGATGGGCAAGTGGGCAAACGTAGTAAGCTTTGTGGATATAAGCTTGTGGGTGGGTGAACGGGTGGTTGAGGAACTGGAGGGTGATTAGGAGGCGGGTAGATGATAAAAAGGATGAATGGGTAAGTGGTTGGTGGGTTAACGGATGGGTGGATGAGTGAGTAGATGGATGAGTGGGGAGGTG